TCCAGTAGTCATATATGGATGTGAAAGTTGAACTATAAAAAAAGTTGAGTGCTGAAGAATTAATGCTTTTGAACTGTGGTATTGGAGAAGACTCTTGAGAGTCCCTTGGACTGCAAGGAGATCCAACCAGTCCATCCTAAAGGAAGTCAGTCCTGAATATTCACTGGAAGGACTGATTCTGAAGCTGAAACTCCAATACTTTGGCCACCTGATGCGAAGAGCTGACTCATTTGAAAAGATCCTGATGCTGAGAAAGATCGAAGTTGGGAGGAGAAGGGGACGACAGAGGATGAGATGGTTGGATGGCATTGCTGATTCAATGAACATAGTTTGGGTAAACTCTGGGAGTTGACGATGGACAGGGCGGCCTGGTGTGCTGCAGTCCTTGGAGTCGCAAAGAGTCGGGCGCGACTGAGCAACTGGACTGAACTGAACGGAACCCCCAACTCCAGTTTCTAATAGCCCAAGAAAAAGAAAAATTTTCCTTCAGATTCAGAAAAACTGTGAGCCATAAAGATATTTAAAGATATTTAAGAGCAAATGAAGAGTAATTTCAAATTCTGGCTGTTTTTGTGCTAATAAAATAATTAGATTGTGAATTATTATTTCCTCCTTTTGTGTGTGTTTCTCTTATTGAATTTCATAAATTAACCGAAAAAAATAGCGTTGAGTTTTTCACTCACCATCTGTCCCTTTCCCATGTATTTATCAAAAATTTTCTTTTATTGGATTTATGATGCTGCTGTCGTGTCCAACTCTGTACGACCCCATAGACGGCAGCCCACCAGGCTCCCCCGTCCCTGGGATTCTCCAGGCAAGAATACTGGAGTGGGTTGCCATTTCCTTCTCCAATGCATGAAAGTTAAAATTGAAAGTGAAGTCGCTCAGTCATGTCCGACTCTTAACGACCCCATGGACTGTAGCCTACCAGGCTCCTCCATCCATGGGATTCTCCAGGCAAGAGTACTGGAGTGGGTTGCCTTGGCCTTCTCCGTGGATTTATGATAGCCTAAGAAAAAAACAAGTATTCTAACATGAACATCCTATGGAAAAATCAATTTTATACATGTAATATATGTGAGAATTTGGAAAAGCAGCAATAAAACACTGGAGACTAATATACTCTACAATTATTGAACTAGGAGTTTATTGTTGTCCTTTCAATTTAGTATTCTGAAACTATGCATGTGAATATTGAAGCCTAGACAAAGCAATTTAAAAGTTATCAAAATGCTATATAAGTACCAATCTGTTAGTAAATATTCAACAAATATTATTTTATAGGCCTTTCTTTTCCATCAATGAGCTGCAAAATTTATTAACTTTTTTCTCACAATCTAAAACAGATGTAATCCTTCCTATGTATATAAACAATCACTTTCTTGGCATCCTGAATAACCTAAGTGACCCTCTGCTTCAACAGATTCCTCATAGCTTTTTTCACTTCTGTGTTTTTCACTGTGTAAATGATAGGATATAACATGGGACAGAGGATTGCAAAGAACACAGTCACCCACTTGCCCTCAAGGTAAATGGCCACAGGACATGTATAGGTGAACATACAAGGACCAAAAAAGAGAACCACTACTATAAAGTGGTACACATGTAGAGAGGGCTTTTTGCTATCCTTCAGAGCCATGGAATTTCAAGGAGCTCAGTATAGCTATGTAGGAGGTGACTATGATGACAAAAAGAAGCAAACACATGCCCCCACTGTTGGCTGCTACCACTATTCCCAGCCTATAGCAGTTGCTGCAGGCAAGTTTCAACAGTGAGAAGAAATCACACAAAATGGTCAATGACATTGGGACCACAGAATGTCAAGTCCATTGAGAAAAGGATCTGGACTGTGCCACGCAGGATCCCTCCAATCCAGGCCACCACCACCAGGAGCTGGCAGAACTCCTGTCGCATGATGGTTGCATGATGACCGTGTAGTGCAAAGGCTTGCAGATGGCCACATAGTGGTCATAGGCCATGCCAGTGAGGACAGTGATCTCTGATCCTCCTATGAAGTGCTCCAAAAGGAGCTGAGTTTGGCAGCCACCCCAGGAGATGGTTTTCCTCTGGTACAACAGATCAATCATCATTTTGGGCATGCTCACAGAGGTGAGGGAAGTATCTAATAAGGCCAAGTAAGTGAGAAAGAAGTACATGGGAACAGAAAGTGTGGGACTGAGGGAGATGGTGATGACAATGAGCAGATTGGCCAACACAGTAAACAGGAAGATGAGCAAAAAGACAACAAAGAGTATTTTCTGCAGGTGTGGATTCTGTGGGAGTCCCAGGAAGACAAATTCAGTCACTTTGTTGGGAGACCTGAGGACATCCATTCAGTAAGTAATACCTTTCTGAGCCTGTATTACCTACAAAGAATAAAGAATGATACTTGTTAATCATGAAAGCATTGTGATCTGACTGTCTCAGGATAAAAAGAGTGCAGTCATAGTGACTGTGGAGCATATCCTTGGTAATTTGCCCCAGTTCTGCTTTCAAGTCTTTCTTATTTTTTCCCATGATGCTTACCATTTCTTCAAACACTCAGAGCTTGTCACCTGTAAAACATCTCTAGGACAATGTTTGAGGTTATAATTTACTGATAAAGCATTGGGCTGTCTCCATGAGATCTGGACTCTCCTAGTGGTTTCAACTCTGTGACTCTATAGTCATCTAAGTGCTCCGAACTTCCATGAATTCCTCTGTGTCTGTGAGGCTACTAATTGTAATTTTCAGATGTGTCTTATAAGCTGAGAAGTGCTACAGAGAAGTAAGAGTTATTTCCTCTTGCATGAAAATTTAGATTTGAAATCTCACATCTGTGGAAAGAAGATGATGATCAAGTGTCTGTCATAAACAGGGAGTTTAGGGAAGTGTACATAAGTCCTTGTTGACAAAAACTCACTGGTACCTACAAGAACACGTTAGCTATTCAGGCGTGTTTCATCACTGTCCCTACCATAGTGGCTGGCCTAGTATCTACAGTGTCTAAAACCTATTAGGTGATGAGTGTTTGACACTGAATTGCCATCTTCCAAGGATCAGCATATGCCTCCTTCTCGAAACCATAATCTCAGATGAAATTCAAGTGTTCTTGTCCTGTGGCTCTGTTCATCTATAATCTCTCTACTTTATGAGAAAATTAAATAGACATTTGAAAGGAAGCTGCATTCTAGTGTAATAGCTTCTGAGTGAAAAAGTTGGTTTAAAATTCAACATTCAGAAAGGTAAGATTAGGCATTTGGTCCCAACACTTCATACCAAGTAGTTGGGGGAACAGTGGAAACAGTGACAGACTTAATTTTTGGGGACTCCAAAATCACTGCAGATGGTGACTGCAGCCATAAAATTAAAAGAGGCTTACTCCTTGGAAGGAAAGTTATGACCAACCTAGACAGCATACTAAAAAGAAGAGACATTACTTTGACAACAAAGGTGTGTCTAGTCAAAGCTGTGGTTTTTCCAGTAGTCATGTATAGATGTGAGAGTTAGATTATAAAAAAAAGCTGAGGTACCGGGCCGTGCTGCTTATGGAGGCGCTGGAGAGGGGGCGCTGAGCTGTTGGGTATGAAGTGTAACAGAACAGACTTTACCACCTGAAACTGCTGCTTCAAGTTCAGATCAGGCAAGAAACAAACCTCGAAACAACCAACAAGACCAAAGAAGAGTACACTTAAGTTGAAGACACAACAATTGATCTGAAACAAGAAGTTTGTGCCTACTCAACAGCTTTGAAAGAGCACTTCCCAACGCTGCTAGTAGTCTTTGTTTTCTTCAGTGCTGTACTGTGAGATTGCCTGGTTCAGCAGCAGTTGTATTCTTTATTAGCTTGATAGATCGTTTTCTCTCGCTCTTTTTTTTTTTAATACTAGAAACTTTCATTCTTTGAAACGTCTGCTGAAAAAGAAGAATCAGCAAATACTACTGAAAGTGCAATATTTGATTATCACTGCGAGATGAGCTTTGATCCAAACCTTCTCCACAACAATGGACATAATGGGTACCCCAATGGTACTTCAGCAGCACTGTGTGAAACTGGAGTTATTGAAAAACTGCTAACCTCTTATGGATTCATTTAGTGTTCAGAACGTCAAGCTAGACTTTTCTTCCACTGCTGACAGTATAATGGCAACCTGCAGGACTTAAAAGAAGGAGATGATGTTGAATTTGAAGTATCATCTGCCCGGCGGACTGGGAAACCCATTGCTGTTAAACTGGTGAAGATAAAACAAGAAATCCTCCCTGAAGAACGAATTAATGGGCAAGTTGTGTGTGCTGTTCCTCACAACTTAGAGAGTAAATCTCCAGCTGCCCCGGGTCAGAGTCCAACAGGGAGTGTATGCTATGAACATAATGGGGAAGTGTTTTATCTGACTTACACCCCTGAAGATGTTGAAGGGAATGTTCAGCTGGAAACTGGAGATAAAATAAACTTTGTAATTGATAACAATAAACATACTGGTGCTGTAAGTGCTCGTAATATTATGCTGTTGAAAAAGAAACAAGCTCACTATCAGGGAGTAGTTTGTGCCATGAAAGAGGCGTTTGGCTTTATTGAAAGAGGCGATATTGTAAAGGAGATATTCTTTCACTATAGTGAATTTAAGGGTGACTTAGAATCCTTACAGCCTGGAGATGACGTGGAATTCACAATCAAGGACCGAAATGGTAAAGAAGTTGCAACAGATGTCAAACTTTTGCCTCAAGGAACAGTCATTTTTGAAGATATCAGCATTGAACATTTTGAAGGAACTGTAACCAAAGTTATCCCCAAAGTACACAGTAAAAACCAGAATGACCCATTGCCAGGACGCATCAAAGTTGATTTTGTGATTCCTAAAGAACTTCCCTTTGGAGACAAAGATACAAAATCCAAGGTGACCCTGTTGGAAGGTGACCACGTTAGGTTTAATATTTCAACAGACCGTATTGACAAATTAGAACGAGCAACCAACATAGAAGTTCTATCAAATACATTTCAGTTCACTAATGAAGCCAGAGAGATGGGTGTAATTGCTGCCATGAGAGATGGTTTTGGTTTCATCAAGTGTGTGGATCGTGATGCTCGTATGTTCTTCCACTTCAGGGAAATTCTGGATGGGAACCAGCTTCATATTGCAGATGAAGTAGAGTTTACTGTGGCTCCTGATATGCTCTCTGCCCAAAGAAATCATGCTATTAGTATTAAAAAACTTCCCAAGGGCACGGTTTCGTTCCACTCCCATTCAGATCATCGTTTTCTGGGCACTGTAGAAAAAGAGGCCACTTTTTCGAATCCTAAAACCACTAGCCCAAATAAAGGCAAAGGAAAGGAAGCTGAGGATGGCATTATTGCTTATGATGATTGTGGAGTGAAATTGACTATTGCTTTTCAAGCCAAGAATGTGGAAGGATCTACTTCTCCTCAAATAGGAGACAAGGTTGAATTTAGTATTAGTGACAAACAGAGGCCTGGACAGCAGATTGCAACTTGTGTGCGACTCTTAGGTCGTAATTCGAACTCCAAGACGCTCTTGGGTTATGTGGCAACTTTGAAGGATAATTTTGGATTTATTGAAACAGCCAATCATGATAAGGAAATCTTTTTCCATTACAGTGAGTTCTCTGGTGATGTTGATAGCCTGGAACTGGGGGACATGGTCGAGTACAGCTTGTTCAAAGGAAAAGGCAACAAAGTCAGTGCAGAAAAAGTGAACAAAACACACTCAGTGAATGGCATTACTGAGGAAGCTGCTCCCGCCATCTACTCTGGTAAAGTCATTCGCCCCTTGAGGAGTGTTGATTCAACACAGACTGAGTACCAAGGAATGATTGAGATCGTGGACGAAGGGGATATGAAAGGTGAGGTCTATCCATTTGGCATAGTTGGGATGGCCAACAAAGGGGACTGCCTACAGAAAGGGGAGAGCGTCAAGTTCCAGTTGTGTGTTCTGGGCCAGAATGCACAGACTATGGCCTACAACATCACACCCCTGTGCAGGGCTACAGTGGAGTGTGTGAAAGATCAGTTTGGCTTCATTAGCTATGAAGTAGAAGATAGCAAGAAGCTCTTTTTCCATGTGAAAGAAGTTCAGGATGGCATTGAGCTACAGGCAGGAGATGAGGTGGCATTCTCAGTGATTCTTAATCAGCGCACTGGCAAGTGCAGTGCTTGTAATGTTTGGCGAGTCTGCGAGGGCCCCAAGGCTGTTGCAGCTCCACGACCTGATAGGTTGATCAGTCACTTGAAGAATATCACCCTGGATGACGCCAGTGCTCCTCACCTGATGGTTCTTCATAAGCCAAGTGGACCAGATAACTCAATGGGATTTGGTGCAGAAAGAAAGATCCATCAAGCTGGTGTCATTGACTAACCACATCCACAAAGCACATCATTAATCCACTATGATCAAGTTGGGGGGATTCTGGTGAAGGGTTCTGAATATCTCCCTCTTCATCCCTCCCAAAATCTGGAATACTTATTCTATTGAGCTATTACACCATTTTTAACACCTTCCTCGTGTTATGTTTTAAAAAATAAATAAATTTAAGAAAACCATTTTAAAATTTAAAAAAAAAAAGCTGAGCACTGATGAATTGATGCTTTTGAACTGTGGTGTTTGAGAAGAGTCTTGAGAATCCCTTGGACTGCAAGAAGATCCAACCAGTCCATCCTAAAGGAAATCGGTCCTGAATATTCACTGGAAGGACTGATGCTGAAGTTGAAGCTCCAATACTCTGACCACCTGATGTGAAGAGCTGACTCATTTGAAAAGACACTGATGCTGGGAAAGACTGAAGATGGGAGAAAGGGACAGCAGAGGATGAGATGGTTGGATGACATCAGAAACTCAATGGACATGAGTTTGGATAAACTCTGGGAGTTGGTGATGGACAGGGCAGCCTGAAGTGCTGCAGCCCATGGGGTCATGAAGAGTCGGACATGACTGAGCAACTAAATTGAATTGAACTGACAAACTCTCTAGAGTAAATATGGAAATATTTAATTGCCCCTTGGAAAGTTCATTTTATGAGTAATTTTTCTTTCAAGATAATTAGTTTGCAAATTGATAATTTATATTCTTCAATATTATGTTCTGTGTGTGTGTGTGTGTGTGTGTGTGTGCTCATGAATGCTCAGTAGTATCCAACTCTTTACAATCCTATGGACTGTAGCCCACCAGGCTCCTCAATCCATGAAATTTTCCAAGCAAGAATAATGGAATGGGCTACCATTTCCTGTTCTACATACAATTTAACATAGTCATATTCTGTGAATTTACAGTTTCAGTAGACTTGATAAAAAAAATATTCTTGCATAGGTGTTCAATACACAAGGATCTATCAAGTAAAGAAAATCACTCTTTTTCAAAGTTCTAAAAATAACCAAAAAAATTAATGAGGAGAACAGAAATAGTTGGCTAGAAAATTTAGTCAATGCACTATACATATATATACCAATGACAACAAATAGTATTTAGTTAATTCAGTTGCTCAGTCATGTCTGACTCTTTGTGACCCCATGGACTGCAGCATGCCAGGCCTCCCTGTCCATCAGCAACTCCCAGAGTTTCCTCAAACTTGTCCATCACAAAGGTGATGCCATGCAACCATCTCATCCTCTGTCATCCCCTTCTTGTCCCGCCTTCAATCTTTCCCAGCATCATGGTCTTTTCAAATGAATCAGCTCTTTGCAGCAGGTGGCCAAAGTATTGAAGTTTCATCTTCAACATCAGTCCTTCCAATGAATATTTAGGACTGATTTCCTTTAGGAGGGACAGGTTGGATCTCCTTGCAGTCCAAGGGACTCTCAAGTGTCTTTTCCAACACCACAGTTCAAAAGATTCAGTTCTTCAGTGGTCAGCTTTCTTTTTAGTATAAAATCCATTACTTAATAGTTCCTACTACAAGTTCATTCATTGGACAAATATTTATTGGACACTTACTATATATATTGGACTTACCTGGTGGCTCAGACAGTAAAATGTCTGTCTACAATGCGAGAGACCTAGGTTCAATTCCTGGGTCAGGAATATTCCCTGGAGAAGGAAATGGCAACCCACTCACTCCAGTACTCTTGCCTAGAAAGTCCCATGGACAGAGGAGCCTGGTGCAGGCTACTGTCCATGGTGTCGCAAAGAGTCGGACATGACTAAGCAACTTCACTTTCACTTTACTATATATATTAGGGTATACTACTCACAAAATTTCATAAAATTTTCATTATCAATTGTTATTAATTCCTGAAATTTTATTACCAAACAGCAGCAGCACATCCATCTGTGATATGAATGACCTTCTCACTCCTCATGCTTTCTCCCTTCTAGAGCATCCATTATCCGTCACTCCTAGTTACAGGATGAGTATGCACTAAGTTTCTCCAGTCATGTCTGACACTGAGATCCCATGGACTGTAGCCTGCCAGGCTCTTCTGTCCTTGGGATTCTCCAGGCAAGAATACTGGAGTGGATTGCCATGCCCTCCTCCATGCCATCTTCCCAACCCAGGAATTTAACCAATGGTCTCTGTGTCTTCTGCACTAACAGGCAGGTTATTTACCACTAGCACCACCTGGGAAATCCAGTTACAGGATACTGCAATACTAATAGAGTGAGAAATTTGGGGATATAAATTTGTCAAAGAGAAGAGAAATAAATATAATCAAATATATTTGGTAAAACGTGTCTTTCTCTTTTGAAGATTAATAAAGAACTTTACTTTTAATTATCTAAGATGAAAATTTTATACAAATATGAAATCAAAGTGCAGCAGCTTCATTGTCAGTCCCCATTCTGAGGTAGGATTTCACAACAGATCAAAAAAGACTAGAGTGTAAATAAAGTAATATTTAAACATAACAACTGTGAATAAATATAAATAACTTTCCTTGTTTTTCCTTGACTCCACAATACTCTTTCAAGGAATAAGACCTAGTGTAAGATATTTTTAAAAAGAAAAGTCCCTGTGTACAAATATGTTCAACAAAATTATTAAGAGCTATGGAAAATTAGAAACAGTGTGGAGAAAATTAGAAACAGTGTTCTTCAAAAGTGAAGAACAAAATAATTAAAATATAATCGCTTGTTAAAAATAATATGTAGTTTTTAACAAAGTTGCATTTAAAATTGTGCGTTGTCATAGAAAATGAAGTTGTAATATTAAGTGGGGAAATTTTGGATGCATATTTGAATTGTATAGTTACTCTAAATTATTTCAATGAAACTAATTATATTATTATTCCAATGAATTTAAATATATATTTAAAATATAAAAGACCCCAAAATATTTTTACTTCTAAATTGTTAGTATTGTAGTTGAGTTTAATTCTAGCTTGATGTTTTGTATGCTTAAGAAGGATTTATATCTCAGGTAAGCTTGGATGAGCAACGATCATATTATTTGCAACATACATTTAAATATGAGAATCTAAGATTATATAATTTCATAAAATGATCTCACCTATGAATATGTCCGACATAGGTCAACGGTCAAGCCCCAGGCAGCTGCTAGTTCACTAGGAAAGAAGTATTAAGTTATAAGATTAAAAATGCCAACTACCTCAGCTGCAATAAGTGTCTTTGTTGATTTATAAATGGTATCTTTGGATAAACCTTAAAAACAATACCACATATCCTCTTTGTGGGCAAAATCTAGGAAGTTTCTTATCTGTCACTAATTGACCTCAGGGGTATTTCTCCATCATTAGCAGATCTTGGCAACAACCCAATTATTTCAAATAAGGCATCCGAACATCAGAGCAGAGCTTTTACAATATTCATCTTTAATTTTAAACTTCATCCTTAAGTCTACATGAAAACAAAACATCATCACAAAATACAAAAGAAAAGCACCAAGTTGATGATTTATAAACTTGGATACTTGCTAGTAAATGAGCTTAAAAATGGAGTCTGAATTTTTGATACCATATAAATAAAACACTTAGGTGTGTAGCTATCTGATTTTTAGATTTTATTATAATATTTTATTTTTACTGATCTACCAATTATGGTAATCATAATTTCTAAATATTGCTTTCAGATGTACATTAAATGATTATTATGAACTCTATTATATTATTAACACTTCACGCTAGATAAAGTTTACAGTACTTCTTCAAAATAGATGTTTCTTGTTCCAGTTCTGGAATTAGACTAACATGATAATAATGAAAATTATTCCATTGTTCAAATATATCCAAATATGGTAGAACGCACTTGCCATTTAAATTTAATCCTACAGCATATCTACAATATATAAAAAAAATTAGGAAATAATATTCACACTTTGTATAAGAAATTGTAAGAAAGGAAATAAAATACCATTTACCAAGGGAAAATAAGAAGCCATATAACTGAATCGTGGCACAGGACCCTTATCTTTAAATTATATTTTTTATGACTAAAGTGTCATGAGACTCTTCAGCTGCCACCAATTGTGAAGTCCATTTTAATTACTTAGTCAAAGAAATAAAACTGATATTAAAATTATTTGGCAAATAAATTCAATACAGAAATATTTTTATGTAAAATCACAGTTATTGCAAGATGTTCAAATATGCTTCTTTAATAAGAACTCTAGATAACTCTGTAGATAACTCTAGACTGACCCTCTTGAGGAACTTGTATGCAAGTCAGGAAGCAGCAGTTAGAACTGGACATGGAACAGCAGACTGGTTCCAAATTGGAAAAGGAGTACATCAAGGCTGTATATTGTCACCCTGCTTATTTAACTTATATGCAGAGTACATCACGAGAAATGCTGGGCTGGAAGAAGCACAAGCTGGAATCAAGATTGCCAGGAGAAATAACAATAACCTCAGATATGCAGATGACAACACCCTTATGGCAGAAAGTGAAGAGGAACTAAAAAGCCTCTGGATGAAAGTTAAAAGGAGAGTGAAAAGGTTGGCTTAAAGCTTAACATTCAGAAAACTAAGACCGTGGCATCTGGTCCTGTCACTTCAGGGGAAATAGATGGGGAGACAGTGGAAACACTGTCAGAGTTTAATTTGGGGGGCTCTAAAATCACTTCAGATGGTGCTTGCAGCCATAAAATTAAAAGACGCTTACTCCTTGGAAGGAAAGTTATGACCAACCTAGATAGCATATTCAAAAGCAGAGGCATTACTTTGCCAACAAAGGTCCATCTGGTCAAGGCTATGGTTTTTCCAGCGGTCATGTATGGATGTGAGAGTTCAACTGTGAAGAAAGCTGAGAGCCAAAAAATTGATGCTTTTGACTGTGGTGTTAGAGAAGACTCTTGAGAGTCCCTTGGACTGCAAGGAGATCCTACCAGTCCATCCTAAAGATCAGTCCTGGGTGTTCATTGGAAGGACTGATGCTGAAGCTGAAACTCCAGTACTTTGGCCACATCA